AAAGTCTGAATAACCTTTCTCAGGGAAGCTAAAACCCATGGAATTTAAGATTTATCAAGACATGAAGGATAAATCTACAATAGCACTGGAAGACAGAGTGGCAGAATTCTTTTTCCAAGCTACCAAAATGTCAATCTCCTTTGCAGTAAGCATATTTAAGCAATCAAACTCTAAAGTGTGTAATCCAGTCATCACTGGTAAAGTCCTCAGTGACTTTGTTGTCCCATGCGATGTGTTTGGGTGTTAGTGAGGAAGATGGATATTGAGTCATGCAAGAACGAATGACTGAATGAAAGGAATGAATGAATTGTTTTCCAGAACATATAGTAAAATTCTAAATGTAGCATAAACAACATGACGTATATTAGGTGTATATTTTGTAATGATGTAAAAAAATGGCTATGAAAAAATTAAGCTTTTCTAATCACACCCCTTCTCCTTCCTATAGCCCTTTTAGTCATTAATACCAACAATCATTTACCTACTAATATTTATATTCATACTCTTATTACATATAACCCATATCAACACAACTGCAACCTTTGCACAAGTATATATACACCCAATATATAGTGTACACATTGACCTTTACTGCCTTTCTACTATCTCATATAAGAAAATCAGTTTGATCCTTTTTCTAGTCATCAATATATGCTTGGACATTGATTTAATTCAACACTACAATAAATGCTTGTGGGCCCAATACTCACCCCAACGGGACACCACAAGCAATGTCCAAGCATTAAGACTGATAATAATCCATTTTCACAAATTGTTTCCTCGTACTTAAATAGCTCTTCTTCCACTGCTGAACCACCACTGTATACTATAATGTTCTAATTTCCTGATTCTTATATTGTAATCAATTGTGTCTAATGCTTTTCTATGGATCAGGGCGACAGTGGCGTTGGATGTAGGAGTTGTGTCCTTGGGCAAGACACTTCACCTGCATTGTCTACTGATGGTGGTCAGAGGGCCCGGTGGCGCCAGTGTACGGCAGCCTCGCTTCTGTCAGTGAGCCCCAGGGCAGCTGTGGCTACAATGTAGCTTGCCACCATCAGTGTGTGTGTGAATGGGTGAATGAATGTAGTGTAAAGCGCTTTGGTCAAGTCTCCTAACTTGAATAAAGGCGCTATATAAGTACATGCCATTTACCATCAACAAACAGGCCAATTGAAACTTTCTTCTCCTCCCAGATGAGATTAAACATTTTACATTTAAGTTGGATCCAAATTGTATTATAGTGAGCATATAAAGAAGAATGCATTAATAAAACATCTCTGTCACAATGTTCAGAGTTAAAGGGAGAAATACGAATGTAACTTCATCACCCTTAGGCAGCCCCTTGACCCCAGGTTGAAAAGCTTACCAAGGTACCCAGTGAAAGTAATGAACTAACAAGGTTTGATGGACATGAGAATATGCAGTGACTGTGCTAAATCTAAAGGATCTCATCAATAGTGTTCCCTTTCACGAAAGATGTCAGGTAAGCATTAGGAAATAAATTGACAAGTAGTTTTGAGCCTGAGTAACCATAAAGTCTGAAGCGTGCAGGTTCAAGTTATACTTGAAATTTAAGATGGTTTGAAGCAATGTTTTCCTGAATATATGTGGCGTCAAGCTTCTGGAACGAAGCACAAATATGGTAGTGTGAAAAGAAAATGTCTGCTTTGTGGTGTCTTGTTATCTGCAATCTCATATCCCTTAGGCAAACTAACCCCTTTAAGGTGAAATATCAAGGTCACATCCACAAAGAATTTAACAGAAACAAAATGAAATGGCGCAATTGTAAAACACATGTCTCAGTGACAAATGCATTGAATGCTGCAAGGGATCCACCTCAGCTTCAGCTCAGAGCGAGCTCTCCAGTTCCAATCAGTCTGCCTCACTTCTGCAAAGTTGAAAAAATAAGACATTGATCCAAGAGAGGGGGAGGCAGAAACATCCTTAGGATTTATGGGTGAAAACATGCTGAGATCTTTTTTCACTTTAATGAAAGATATAGCTTGGTATTTTCCTTTACTTGTGACTCATCTAGCCTCATGCTCCCTATAAATGTCAGGGCAAACATGAAGTTGACCATCTTGATCTTGAATAGAAAACACAGGTCTTATGCAGCGTGATAATGTCGATATGGGAGAATACATAAATCTATCAATTTAATTAGTTAAAAGGAAGTCATCTATTGTGACTACAGGTTGTGAGTGTTTATGGTTAACAACAGGAAAACCAGAAAATTTGTGCATCTCATTTACACTGACCTCTATGTATTCCTCCAGAACACATGCAGAGTGACAAGTTCTTGTGGAGATATCTGACATTAGAATAGCAATGTACTGAAACTGGAAATATAGCCCTTGTCTAGTTTCAGTAATAAAATGTCATGTCCTCAATCTTGCACTTTGGTAAGAAAAAGCTTAGAGCAAAAGAGGTTTCTAAACTGCTGCTATGCTGCCCTCTTCTGGTGTCTAAATAAAAAACAAAATACTCAATTGACTCACATAAATAAAGAATGATAACAGTTTTACACAATGAATGAGTGTCATAGTAACCTACATAATACATAATACATTTTAGGCAATGAAAGTGGAATTATTAATGATTTATTTCTCATTCTTAGTCCAATAATAAACAAAAACCAAACACCATACTGTTCCGCTACATGGTATACCCAGGCATCTATAACTGTACATGCCTGGTCTGGTGCTGGCTGTATGATGAGACGGTGCTGGGTTATTCTGAGACTAGCAGTTTCTCATTTGACAACATTTCAATTGAAAAAAGCATGTTCTGTGGTAAAAGGTTGTTTGGGGTGGGAATGAGCTACATCTATTTCTGCTGCTGTCCAGCATCCCTTCTGAATTCCAGCAAATACTCTGACTTTACTTACAGTAACTCTCAAAGTTGCCTGTTTTTCCCCTGAATGCTGTTAGTCCATAATTATTATTCATTCTTTTGCAGGAAAAAAAGTTTAAAAAATGCAGCCACTCTGCTACAACATACCCTTTGGAAATGTCAGATTTTTACATGCTGCATATTTCCTTGTATTTCATTAGTATTTCATGCAGCACAAAGTACCACTTATGCATGTATTTCAGTTCACTCCATCACAATTAATGATGCTACCACCATGAGATTTTTTTTTTTCTCATATGCATAGTCAGTTGTCTAGTACAGAGATTTCCGAACTATATGGCTTCTGAACCACAAGACTGATGAAGAATCAGAAACCAGATTGTCTGATGACCCAAACTATTGGTTAGATTGCAAACAATAAAAAAAAGGGGGCTATTGGTAATTTTAAAAGCATAAAAAACAATGTTTTTTTCAATATCTAAATAAATGTTGTTTCCTAGGATACAACATTCTGCATTTGCCACAAAGCTTGATTTCATTCTAGCTTTTCCACTGCATCATTTGCTGAATATCTGCTTTCCTGCGTGGCTTTTGACAGACTTTAACCAGGACTTCTTGTTGCCTATTTTCAGGATTTGGTTTCTTTTTGGTCTTCTTCTATAGAGGTAGATAAGGTCACAGTGCTGTCAATAGATTCCCTCCAGCTGAGCAGGGGATAACTGAAGCTGCCTGAATTATGACAGGACTTTTGGCTGCTTCTCTTTCCCTAGGGGTCAGGCTTAGGTGGATGGTAGGTTTACACTCACGCAATAGTCTTTCCATTTTCAGCTCATGGATTGATAATTTCATTGTGAGATTTCCAAAGCCTGGGGTCTTATTTTATAACCTTACAGCTTAGAATTTCTCATCAGCTTTATTATTGGGCTTTATGGTGTCTCCCTTCATGATGCTTTTAGTTCAGCTAAGGTTTTTTTTAACAAACCTTTAAGGCTTTTCTTCAAAGAGCGGCTGTTGGACTACATAAAGAGGTTAGATGAAACAGACTGGTACTGTGCATTAAATGTACACTGCATTCTGCAAATGAGTAAAACATGTCTTAAAATAAGTGTATTCACCCTTAATTTAAGCAGGAAAATAAGATGGTCTGCCAGTGGAATGAGCATTTTTATCTTTAAAATAAGATAATTAGATATTATGCACTTGAAATAGGAGACTGCAATTGTTTTTTCTTTTTTAAAATGTAAATGGTCTTATTCCACTGGCAAAGTGCATCACTTGCCTGCTCAACTTAAGAAAAAAAATCAACTTCTTTTAAGAAATAATTACTTACATTAACATTTTTTGCAGTGTATATTTGGGTTATCATGGTAAAATTGGCTAGATACAATTACATGCAACATTCAAAGATTTATTTCTTATTTTAAATGTTTTTAAAGTGTCTTCTTTAGAATCAAGTTGAACATTAGCACAACATGGTTGTTGCATTATGTGGAACAATAATTCACTATACTCTACAGCAGTTGTGATGGGTCAAAAAGTGAAAATGTTCAAGGGGTATGAATATTTCTGCAAGACTTTATACCCTTTTCACAAAGACAATTTCACAGCATCGCAGTGTCTTTGAAAGCTCACACTTTGGCAGAGTGATAAAACACTGAGAATGCATCAGTTCCCCGAGTGCTGTGACTCTTATAAAACCTCTTTCAGGTTTTTTTTCTATCTCTCTCAATGCACATTAGAAAACTGCAAATTGCCTAAAATCTGCTTAAAAAAATGAATTGCCACCAACAGGCTACAGCAAGAGTATTACAAAACTTACCTGGAAGGAGGCAAACATCATGTAAATTACTACTGCTATCCCCAGCTATGAATATCATTAGTACCAGCAGTATATGCGCCTTTCAACTCCAAAACACATTACCATGTTATTCATCAGTGAGGTGTGAATTATTGGCTGATAACAGTCTACCAGGGGGAGGCAATGAAGGTGTCGCCTAAAATAATCACCTCATGCTTTAAGTTGACTTAAAAGAATAACTTCATTAAAGCCAATAAGCAAAGGATTAAAGTTTGAGGAGGAATGTGGGAGAGTTTCTTAGGAGGAGGGTGTAGTCCCTGAACGTCACTCCCACGGAGTTTGCAGTGAATGCGGACTTTCCCAAAGTTCACTTTTTGGAGTTCAGTTTCAGAGACGATGCAACTCTAGAGTTTGACCGCGTCTGGCTCAATAACAGGGTAGGCCTAGTTTATTTTAAGGGTAGGGGAAAAATGCATATGTTTGCACTTTTTTTAAATATGAAAAGCAGGCACATAGAGATGGACTGGTGGTGGGCTGTTTTCACTCTGATCCTAAACTTCCACATTACCCACGGCTCCCCGTCTTATTATGACTTATTCCACGGGTCTGCGCACACTGGACCGGTCCACAGACATCGAAATAGGTGAGTTTTTTATTTTATTTTATTATAAGAATCTTGTAACTTAACACAATGTTTAATACGTTTCTTGTAACGGAGGTTTAACAACAACAACAAAAAAACAACACCTTTTTTTGTTACCAATAAAGTGCGATAACTTTTCACAAACAGGATCAAACCCATATCAGGGATGTTTTAGCCCCCTTACTTTTCATTTGCTGTCTTTAATTACTCGCTTATCAGCTCTGGGCTAAATGTGGCTCCACGCAAAGGCGATAAGTTAGATAAACGTTGAAATGCCGCAGATTACGCAGTATTATCGCACACCCAACGGTTAATGATAAACAAAAATAAGACTAAATGAGGAAAAACCTGATGGGAGGGGAGCTCTCAGCTTAAATGCCATAAACATGTGGAGTTAATTATGTTCTTTCTGTCCTGCGTGGATTTAAAGAGTATCCCTGTCTTCTCAATACCTCTATCAACAGGAACTGGTGCGCCTATGTGGTTCAGAGGAACGTGAGCTGTGTCGTGCAGGGGAATGTTGAGGGCTTCCAGGAACCTGTGGTGGCCCCCTGCCCGCCCTACCAGCCCGACTGCCAGCAGCAAGTGACGTGAGTAACTAGAGAGCCCAGGAAGGGGGTGCATAGTTGCATGTTTTTATGTTGTTGTAGTTTAGATGTATAAGAAACATTGTGTAGACACTTTTTTTACAGCTAGAAAAAAAATTGTGAGAGCAAACTAAACATGCCCTTCATCCCAATAAAGCCCATCCAAAATTGAGCTTAAAGATTCGAAACAACCCAGAACAGAACTGAAAACACAAACATTAAAATAGCAACTAGAAACTCTTGTCCATTAGATTTAGATATATATTAACCTAAGTGAAAAATCTCATTTGCTATTGTTAGGGAAAAGTCATAGTCATCATAAACAAAGGCGTAACTATCAGTAAGCAGAGACTGCAGTTGCTTAGGGGCCCCCGACCTCTAAGGGGCCCCGTCATTGACACCCGGTAGGCCCCCCTTCATTAGACAGTTGGTAAAAAATATACTCATATAGTATGTTTTAAACCGCAATAAAGATCTTAAAAGAATGTATTTGAGTATTTTAGTTTTTTACACTACGACTTGGAATTATGGGTAATCCAATTAAAACCGTAACCGTTACATACAATGTGTTAGCGACGATGGATACCAAAAAGAGGTACTTAAGCGGTTTCCAGAAAAGAAAAAGCAAAGAAGAGCTGCTGGAAGAACGGGAAAAAAACGTCCCAAAATGGGGTGACGTTGCTGCCATATTGAGTATATATTGTGACCAGGAGATGAATGAAGAGAACGTGGGTGAGGAGGGGGGCTGTGAAACTCAAGGTAGCCCCAAGAGCCCGATAAGATTCATTTTACAGCAGAATATACTAAAGTATATCCATGTCTAGTGAAGGTGAAGAATGATGAAATGATTTATGGGGCACGTTTTGGGTCGGTTGTCTACGGTGGGGTAGATATTGTTGTGTCGCTACGCTATTGATCATAAATAATGTATAAAGTTTGATATTATATGTCATAAAGTTACCCTATTAACATATCAAACCATTTTAATCTGCTGATTATCCTTGTGAGGTTTCAATTGGAGATTTGTTTTAGGAATGAAGAGGGTACTGCTGATCTGTTCTCTGATCAAATCAACTTCGTCAATTTATTGATCCAATGTTTGGTTACTACTACCCTGATACTGTCCAAACAGAATTAAATCAGCCCATTTGTTGTCCTGTTTAAAACTATGTTTTTTATTTTGTTACACTAATTGGAATCCCAAATTTTAGTATGCTCTGATTTTAGCATAGCGGTTTCTTGTCTCTAAATATTAGCTATATATCAACAAATGTTTCACAATTATTCAGTAATCAAGTTAGTATTTCCCAATTAAAACAATCTCTGACTAAAGCAGTCAAAGTAGGGGAATATCTTTTATTTTCTGTTAGAATTTAAATTGATTTTATGCAGATTTGAGGAACTGCTTTAATTAGAATTTTAAAAGGACACAATATTGCCATGGTTTGAAATACAGATCCCAATTTCCAATTAATACCTACTGGCTTTGAAAGATTAAATAATTGCAATTGATTATACTACATTTAAGACAATCCTTATTTTGTAGAGAGTATTAAATGCCATTGTCCATAGTTGCATATCTACTGGAAAACATACGCTCAGTTAGGATTATTTCCTGGAAGATTCTGTGTCACAACTACATATTTTGTTTTGTGAATCATTTTCAGTTCAAAGCTCATGCAGTCTGTGGTTTAGCTCTGTGGTCCACTTACTCAAAGAGATGCAGCTAGGCTCCTTGAGGTGGAAATGATTCCAGGAAGCTGATCACTGTTAAGTCACTGGGCCGTAAGTGTTTGCACAACAGCGAGAGAACTTCAATTTATCTTTAGATGAAATTCGATTTGACTTCACATTGTTGAGGGATGCATTATGAGCTGCCCCACAGATTTTGACCGTTTATTTTTTCTTTCCTTATACCTATGATATTGTTATTAGTTTCAGTTGAGAAAAGTTTTTTTTTCAAGACATCATTTTTCCAGATGTTCTTGCATGACATGACCCTAGCTTGCAGAGAAGTGATGTCATCCAGTATTTTACTAGGGAACATTTATTTGGCCTGGAAGATTTCGTTTTCTTCAACATGTACGAAGCGGTTGGAAATACACGGGAGAGAAATGTTTGCAGTAACAACAATAGCTTCAGCAGATTGTTATTATTTAAACAGTGAGATATACCTAACAAGTAAATCAGTTTTCTCCTTCAAAACCTCTTGTAATCAATAGCTAAAAGCCATAAACATAAACACAGTGAAAGTTGCATTTTATAATTTGTTCAGTAACTTTTTATTTAAGGTTTTATTATAATTAATCAGTGCCACCAAACCTCGATACTGTTATTAATAACCTTGGCACATATAATTTTAAATTATAGTTTTTTCACTTATCTAGGAAATTAGTTTTTAACAGGGAGATGCAATTCAATACTAAAACAATGTATAAGATATGTGCATTTTGAAAAGGGGTGTTTTTTTTTAGTTTTATTATTATTTTATTTAAATTTTTTTAATTAAATATTATTTGAACCTCTAGTTTTCTGTTAAGCTTAAAAAAACTCCCATATAAAAATGCATTATAACAGTAACCCATAGGGGTTAATTTGATGACGATTTACACTTTAAACATCAAATGGCCTCTTTTTGCATTTAAGATAATGCAGGACATGTTCATGATTTTCCTTTTTTATTACAGATACCAAACCAGGTTTAGACCCATGTACAGGATTGCCTTCAAGAAGGTCACAGAGTTAGAGTGGAAATGCTGTCCTGGTTACAGAGGTCCTGACTGTAAGGATTTAAAACCAACTACAGATCGGCAAACAGCAAGGGGAGTGCCTTCTTACCTCCCACCAAATCCCGGATACTTGCCCAGACAAGCACAGAGTAAGAAACGTATCTTCTGTTCATAGTAAGAAAAAAACAACTGTAAAAGTACTGTTATTTTCTAGGTGATTATTTAAAAAACAGTATTATGCTGTATTATAATGTAATAACGTGTTGAATAATTCTAGGGGCCGAGAGGAGGGAGACCTCGCTTTATGAGAGTCGACATGGTGCCACAGATAAAGTGCATTTGCTTGAAGGTGAAGTTCAGCGTCTCTCCCAGATGGTCTTGGATCTTCAGTCTTCTCTAACGAGATTAACCACCAACCTTCGCACAGACCTGCAGGACGACACAAAAAAGATGCTGGTGACACTTCTGAATGACATGCGTCCGCCAGAAAATAGCAACAATGCAGAGGAGACTCCTGTGGTGTTAGATGGCCATCAGGCTACCAGGGGAGGAGTTGCTGGAGACAAAACATTAGAGAAAATAGAAACTCGTTTGGATGATATTGATAACACCCTGCGAAGCAAGGAAGAAGCTTTGGAAGACCTAAAGGGAATCACAATAAGTCATGAGGGGCAGATACGTGTCTTAATGGATGCCTCTCAGTCTCAGACTTCAGCTTTAGCTGAATTTGAAGGTATGCAAACCTATATTGATGGTAAAATGGAAAAATTGAAGACTGAGCTGGAGAAGAATGTGGAGGAACAAATGGCCAAATTGCAGAATATTTGTGATGACAAGATCTCGACGGTGCAAAAGACTTGCAAAGATGGCAATGACGAAATTCGTGTCATGTTGACCAAGCTTTTGGAGAGCAAGGAGGCTGATCTTAGAAAGGAGATTCGAACAATACGTTTGGACATGGCTGCCTCTGATGGACCTGTCCAGACTCAAAGACAGATAGAACCATCCAGAGAGAAGAAGGACTATAGTGACCATAAAGATATATGGCGGGAAATTGATCGCATAGCAGAGGCGTATAGAATCCTTAATGTCCGTTTTGACAATGAACTAGGTCATTTATCTTCCATTCAGGAAATGGGGGATTTAGGTCTACTGATTCAAGAGCTGGAGGCACGTGTTAATATTACAGAACAAAATGCAGAAGCCCATTGTTTCTACATTGAAGATACGTTAACGCGACGAATTGCAGACGAAGTGGAAGCACTGCGACAGTTGCTGGATCAGCGTTTGATCACCACTGAGGACCAATTTACAAACATGCTGGTAGAAATGAACAACAGCTCCTTTGGAAGAGTGTCTGGCGACTCAGTGGATGCCCTTCAGGCAGAGGTTGACAAAAACAAGCTTGTCCTCCAGGGTTTGAATGAGAAAGTTCAGGATGTTGAGAAATTGTGCTCTGCTGGATGCTCAAGCTCTGTTATCAGAGCTGATCAAAGTAAAATTGTACCTACTACTGATCATGTGGAAAACATTGTGAAAGACCTAAATCGGTACAGGGATAACTTGGATGTTCTGAACACAGATGTAAGTTCTAACACAGAGAAGCTCAAACAGCTGGATAACCTTTTTCAAAGTCAGTCAGTCGGATATCAGAGACAGTTAAAGACTATGCAGGATTTCCAGAAGGGGCTGATTAATCTTCAAGAAAACGTGCTCGGCTTGGCTGGTACTGTCACCGGGTTAACCGACTCCATGACTAAATCCGACCAGGAAATTCAAAGAATAAGCTTAACCTGCTGCAATACAGATCTGACTGGCCAAGGAAATCCACTGCAACCCAACCCAGCTTCAGTTGATGGCAGCAGCCATCAGATACAAGACCTGAAGAACAGACTCGAAGCACTTAGCACACAGGTCTCTTCTGAATTGACCGATTGTAGGCAAAACACTCAAGGTGTTTCTGACGGGATCTCAGCTATAGGTGGACGTGTAAGCCGGCTTGAAAAGATCTGTGGAAGGTTGGATGGAGTTTCTGTTAACATCAAAGAGCTGAAAGATGGCTTGGAGAGACATGTTGGGGGGCTGCAGAACTGTATTCAAAGGATGAACACAACTTGTGGAAATCATGGCGCAGACATTACCACACTGTCCAATTCCTTGCGGAAGCTACAGGCCCAGATGTCCATGATAACGAAGCATGTTTTGAAAGATGTTGCTGCCAAAGAGCCAGGTGAGTGGACTAGTTGATGCATAACTGGTATTTTTAATGATTTTTGTTAAAGGAATTATGACAAGAAAGTTCAATATATGACTTTTAGTGCCAAGCTAAATTAGTTTTAGCAAGGTTGTGCAATTGATTACTTTTTTTTGAGTGATGTATATATATTTGATTGGCTCAGTGGTATAGATTTTTAAAAACTGGTCAATCTACTTAACCTTTATTTACATGTTTTGGTGGGGCTGGACAGAATAGCAGATGTTAGCACTACTGCTTAGCATCATGAAAGCCCTGGAGACGGACAAAAACCAGAGATGACAAAATTATTCATGTTTTTTACTCAAGTAGAAGTAAAAATCCTACTGTTTAAAAACAAGTTTGTAGAAGTTAGAGTATCAATTTAACATTTTTACTCAAATAAAAGTAATGCAGCAAAAAATGTTAAGGGCAGATGATTCAAATCTTATACTGGTTACTCTAAATATAGGAAAGATATGATTCAGAATTGTAGACAAATTTAACTTTTCATCATCATGAACAACAATTTACTTTGGTATGTGGCGAACAACAAGTTGGTGTAGCACTGAGTCCAACCACAAAGAACTTAATTGTCTGGATAAAGCTAATTATTTTGATTATTTAGATTTTTCTTTTAAAACCAAAAGGCCGTAAAGAAAATTAGCTTAATAAATGAAACTAAAAGTTATGAGTTTACTTTTAAAATGCAAGGAGTAGAAAGTAGAGATAATTGCAAAAAAAACTGTAAGGAGTAGAAGTAAAAAGTTGTTAAAAAAAAATAATTACTCCAGTAAAGTATAGATAGCCCAAATTTATACTTAAGTAAGGTAAAATATTTGTACTTTGTTACTTGACACAACTGCCAAAAACATGAATGTTAGGTCCCTTTATACTTCTCTCAGTGTTTTTGTACATGGTTATCAATTCTGTGCCTCTGTGTTGCATTTTCATGGTGACTTTTCAAGGTCTGTGATCCTATAAACGCTAGAGATAGTCATGAGTCTCCTGCAACCTTGCACGGACAAGAGAGCATAAAAATTGGATGCATGATTTTACATCTTACAGCTATGACTGGACTAGGTATATTTTAAATGTGTTTCCATAGTGCCATTGTTACTATGGCTTTGAATAAACTGTAAATGGAAAACATTACATAAGACAATGTACTGTTGGGGACAGTTGCAATGATTATATATAGTAATGCTGGTAAACATTGTATAAAGACGTATTAATATAGTCATACTCTGCTGACAGTGAGTATGACATTTTAATTAAAAGGACTATTGAGCTGTACATGGTGTGCTCTGACAAAAAGTTGCTCATAAGATACATACATTGGAAAATTGTACTTGAAACATGCATAAAAACTTCAATGTAAAAATGGTATATACTTTATGAAAGCCTTTTCATTAGAACTATTTTTGGACCAAATTAGAGATTTGTCTGTTGAAAGGATGATAAAGGTTCGTGCTAGAATAGTCTAACTCTTCATATCCCGAGAGTTACTGAAAAGAAACTAAAAAAAAAAACACTTTGTTTGTTTGCTTCATTTAGCTAATAGAGTTTTATCGACGAGGTATGATGACAGTAATTGGCTGAACATCATGCCACTTTTTTATGTTTTGAGAGATCATTCACATTATAGTGCACAGTGAGCAACCTCATTAGTGCAGCCAAGTCAGAAATAAATGAATAAATAAAGGAAACAAACTGTTTCATCTAGTAGATTTTATCTTTTTTCGCTTCCTCTTTTGCTTTCAACATTCAAGTTTATTAAATGTGATTATTGTCTGTGTAAACACAAACCCTTCCTCAAGATAATCCTCCATGTAATCCACTCTGCTTTGCTTGGTTTAAATGCAGTATTAGAAAGGAAATTATCAGATCTGGCGAAGGACTGCAGGGTTTTTCCCATAGGGGGAGGGTATGGGTTTATTTGGCTTCCTATGCTTTCCTTGACAGTGTCATTCAATATGTCCTGACAGCATAAAGCAGTGGCCACACTTCCTGTGGCTTGTTTCGGGTTAAGTTCATTCGTTTTATTCTAGGGAAAAGAGGCAGGTAAATATAAGAATGTAGTTTTCACTATTCTATTATTGATTTCCCTCTCCTGTTACAGTCTGAGTGCATGAGCAGACTGCGTTATCTTCTCCACCTCTGCTATGAATAGCTTGGAATGATTGGTGAGGCTTCTTTCTTTCACCATGATAAAGCTTTTTCACTCATATCACAGTACTTCAGACCCTAAACTTAGTTCCTATTTTCCCTGTGCATACAAACACAAATGAAACCTCCCCTCCTGCTGTTCTTTCTCCAAACCCATGCACACACAGCAACCTCCAGAGATTCTCGTAGGGTGATCTCAGTCGGATGCTTGGAATCTGGTCTTCATTAAGAGGCCTGACTCACTCACTGCTGAAGTCAGTCTTAAGAGAATGAGGAGAAGCAGGGCTCCACGCCCAGGACCAGATGCTTGAACTACCCTGAGTTGTGAAGTCAAAACTGGGGCCTCGATTGTCGGTGCCTCCCTTTCCGACTCCATCGTCCAAAACAATAACTTGAGTGAGAGCTGAGGAAAAGAAGGGGGCAGGATGGATGAATGTCTGTGGTGTAGAGATTAATAAGCAGGCAGGAGTTTTATGTTTCTTTTCAGCTCTTTCCAGACTCACGTGGTTGCTAAAAGGTGTTTGTTTTCATAACCTCTGTAGTTTTCCAAGATATTTGATTCAAAATCTGCTGGCACTTTTTTCTCTAATAAGCTACGAAAGATCAAAGAAGAGCAGCTGTTTCAAAGTCATTTTCTTAATATTGTCATAGTGTTCACCAAAAGTATTGAACTCTGTTCACTCTGTTATTAGTGAACAGAGTTTGCAATTAATATCAGTGTAAAAACACCTGTTCTGTGGAGGCCTCAGTTTGAAAGAGAACATTAATCTACATACTTCCCCATGAGCACCAAAGAACACACCAGACACCAACGTTATTCAAACCTTCTAAAATCTCTTTTTTGTGTGCTCAATTATGATTTTTTTTTTACTAACATATGGCTGGTTGTTTGCATTTTGAGCCACAATAACCCATCTTACACTGCACCAGTTTCCCATCTTGAATTAGATAAAGGTTGCATAGCAGCGGATCAAAGCAATCTTAGCTGTGTTTGAATGTAGAAAACCTCTGACCTCCTGAGCTCTAAGATTGAATTAACAGCATCATACGGATAACTTGTTGCCTTGGTAACTGGTTGTGGCCAGGAAACATCTCAGCACATAAGTTCTTACGATATGCTGAACTGTAATGGGTAAGATATTTTTAGTCAAAGTAAATAAACATAGGACCTAATGCATGTAGGTTTTTATATGAGGGCTAAAACATTATTATTCTACAAGAGTTAACAGATTAAGAATAGCACACTAAAGTTTGCATGCAAGTTTGCAAAAAGTCTTTTTTCTATGGATTAAATATACCAACAAAGTAATAGTTGCCAAATATTACCCTAACTTTCAAGTCTAGCAAAATGTTAATGCTGTTAATTTGTGTCCTGCATCTGAAATAGACCACAAAAGCACAAACAAATGTTTTTCGACGTCACAACTTGCTTTCAAAAAGAACTTCCCTCATATATTTGCCTTCTTTTTTAGATTGTAACAAATAAAATGGCACTCTGCTCTTTTGGTCTATTTTGCATCTCTTTAGACACTCACACAAGTTCCCAGTTTTAATGTGGTGAGCATAAACTTGACATTAATAAGATTTACATTGTTCCAAAAACCTCAATTTCTTTGAGGAATGTCAATAAATACTCGTTTCTTAATGAGTCTCCCAATATGTACACCATCTCTGCAGTCACTCAGTGCTGGTCTGTTGTTTGTTGCTTCCTCATCTCTGGTTCCCCACTTGAGTTTTCCCTGACGTTTTGGTTCTCAGTATTTTTTATTAGATTAATTTAAGAAGATTTTGATTAATCTAAGAAGAACAGTCTAGTGCATTCTTTTGTGAAAACATATATGATAATGTATACATAATGTATAGATAGTGTAAATAACTCTTGATATAAAGACCAATGTTAAAAATCTGTTGGAAGTAAGAACTGTGGTTGGTATTATATGGCTGAAAGGGCAGCATGAATATTGTTCATAATTGTAATGCTGAATCAAAAAGGTCTTAGTAACCACTGCATTTCAAAAGGCTATATGTTCGAGACTTAAAAAGGAAAAAAATGTCCTTTCACTATAGGGACAATTTTGTCAGCATCTGACTAAAATATTTCCCTCTTAGACTAGTTTTTGTTTGTCTCTTGTTAACTCATTAAAAGTTGTCAAATTAAAGCATAGCTAACTGTTTATTTACAGAAATATCTGAAAATATTTTAATCCAAAGTCATCACTATTACATGCCTTTTACAATTTACATTTATGAAGAACATTGTGTCCATATGAAACAACAACAGTCCTGCTGTGGTGCTCCTACTAACTACTGCAAGTCATTCAAAAAAATTTAGCAGCTTTGTTCTAGACATTAGGATACTTCTTTTTTTTTAGTAAGGAATAAAACAAAACAAAAACTGCAAAAATGAAAAACAAAATGAAGCAAATGCTCGCTTAAAATAAGCAAGTGTTCAGTGAACTGTACCACTGCGAATGCGAATGACGCCAAAGATTCTTTGTGGATTTAGTGGAAGTAAATATATGAACTTTATATGAACTATAAATGCTCTGTTTTGGTATCAACTCAAAAGCGATACAGGATAACTTTGCTAGTTTTTTTTTTTTTTTTATCTGTTGTTATTGAAATTTCTTTATAGTTTTAGGGAAAACCTTGTATATCCAACTACATCATTAATTTGGTGTTGGAATGATGAATGGGCTCTATGCACAGCTCCACTACTTCCTGAATTTAAGGCAGCTCCTTTGTTTCCTGTCTTTCATTACTGGACGAACTGATTAATCCAGGTATGTCTGGCCAGTTACTTAGGTCATACACACCTGGATTAATCA